GTGTAGACCCAGCCTAGGTGTGTGGGTTATACAAACACACATGAAAGGGGAGAGTTATCCCTAGGGCACGGTGAGTCTGGGCCCGGTGCTTTGGGAGGTCCCACGGGCTAGGGCGTGGTCCGTCCTGGAAGTGTCGGATTCCTCACGTCCGCCCGCGAGGGGCAGTTCTGCTGCCGGCAACGCTCACTTGCAACCTCAAGTGACCACTGCTCTGAGACCTGGCAAACTCATGCCGGGATTGGGCTGTTTAGGGCAGTGCTTTTAGCTGCGTCTTACCAGTCCGAGGCCAGGTGGGGGAGTGCGGAGACCAAGTCTCACATCCCTGGTGCTATTTATGAGCTGGCAGAAGCTGGTAGCTGGGCTCCGGTCACCTAGAAGATGTCCTCTTTGGTCAGAGCATCTTTTGGGAGATGGCAGTCATCTTTCCGCAGCTAGGATGGCAACGTTCACGCCATTTTTCTCCCCATTTTCTCCCCTACGTCTCTGTCCCAAAGACCCCCAAAGGGAGCAATGGGTGGAAGAGCCCATCGTTTTTCTGTTTTGTCCCCCAATTAAGCCTCATTTCCGACATTCCAATTTCGGTTTATTCATTTTTGTTCCTCGGTTCCTCCATTTTTCCGAGCACGATCTTAACGCAGCCCTTGGCCGGCCTTTTTCGTTTGGACGAAGTCCTGTCCTTCTGCGCCTTTTCTCAGCAACATTGGTTATTAGAGGTGGTTGTGACCGCCTGTGAACTTTCACGTTTTACCGCTGCGCTCACAATTAGGGTACATGTACAGGCCCGTGGATTACAACAGACCTCCTGCCTAACGCTTCCCTGAAGTTTTGACAAGAGCAGCCCTTTTAGGAAAAAAAATCCATTTTTGACCGCGAGATCCGCCATGGGAAGGAGGGCTGGGTGAAGTTCAAACCCCAGACAGGACAGAGCGAGGAAGCCCGGCCAGCCGTTCCTGCATGGGATCCGGTTCTGCCGGCTCGAGTTTTGCAGCAGACAGAGGTGGGGCAAATGACCCTCGTGCACGTTGCTTCGCAGCAGAAAAGACCCGGAGGCTGGATTCCAGCCAGGGGAGACGCTCAGCCCCCGAAAGGCCTCACTGGACTCTGAAGAGTGGCTCCGACCCAGTCCGATTTTTTTCCTTCTCGCGGGGGAGGGAGGTGCTGGGAGCCAATTGGGCGCGTGTCTGGATTTTAGCGCCGTGGGAAGGAAAGGGCTCGGACCGCTCTGTACGGGTCCACCCCTGCAGCTCTGCTATGGCCCCTGGTCCCAGCCCTGGGCCTCTCTCGAGCTGGGCGGTGGGACGGGCAACCGAGACGAAGGCTCCGCCCAGCCCTCCACCTCGTTTCGCTCGTGGGCCTAGGCCCCGGGAGGTTAAAACCGGTGCTGAGAAAACGGGAGTGGAGGTTCACCCACGGGACAGGGGATGGCTACATGACAGTGGTGTGGGGACAGTTAAAAAAGGGGGGGTGCTGCCCCTCTTGCCTCTGTCCACCCCCACCCCCAGCTGAGGTCCGGAGCAAAGCCCCAGCATGTGGGGCCAGCATGCCAGGATCCCGGGCATCGGGCTGGCAGCAGCGTATGGGGCTCAAACCAGGAGCCTAGAATGTGGGGCTGGAGGCAGAGCCGCTGGTGTGTGGGGTGACAGCTGGGAACCTGGTGTGTGGGGCTGGCAGCAGAGTCCCTGGCATGTGTGGGGGTGGTAGCAGAGCCGCTGGTGTGTGGGGTGACAGCTGGGAACCTGGTGTGTGGGGCTGGCAGCAGAGTCCCTGGCATGTGTGGGGGTGGTAGCAGAGCCGCTGGTGTGTGGGGTGACAGCTGGGAACCTGGTGTGTGGGGCTGGCAGCAGAGTCCCTGGCATGTGTGGGGGTGGTAGCAGAGCCGCTGGTGTGTGGGGTGACAGCTGGGAACCTGGTGTGTGGGGCTGGCAGCAGAGTCCCTGGCATGTGTGGGGGTGGTAGCAGAGCCGCTGGTGTGTGGGGTGACAGCTGGGAACCTGGTGTGTGGGGCTGGCAGCAGAGTCCCTGGCATGTGTGGGGGTGGTAGCAGAGCCGCTGGTGTGTGGGGTGACAGCTGGGAACCTGGTGTGTGGGGCTGGCAGCAGAGTCCCTGGCATGTGTGGGGGTGGTAGCAGAGCCGCTGGTGTGTGGGGTGACAGCTGGGAACCTGGTGTGTGGGGCTGGCAGCAGAGTCCCTGGCATGTGTGGGGGTGGTAGCAGAGCCGCTGGTGTGTGGGGTGACAGCTGGGAACCTGGTGTGTGGGGCTGGCAGGGGAGCCCCTGACGTGTGGGGCGGGAGCTGGGAACCTGGTGTGTGGGGCTGGCAGCAGAGTCCCTGGCATGTGTGGGGGTGGTAGCAGAGCCGCTGGTGTGTGGGGTGACAGCTGGGAACCTGGTGTGTGGGGCTGGCAGCAGAGTCCCTGGCATGTGTGGGGGTGGTAGCAGAGCCGCTGGTGTGTGGGGTGACAGCTGGGAACCTGGTGTGTGGGGCTGGCAGCAGAGTCCCTGGCATGTGTGGGGGTGGTAGCAGAGCCGCTGGTGTGTGGGGTGACAGCTGGGAACCTGGTGTGTGGGGCTGGCAGCAGAGTCCCTGGCATGTGTGGGGGTGGTAGCAGAGCCGCTGGTGTGTGGGGTGACAGCTGGGAACCTGGTGTGTGGGGCTGGCAGCAGAGTCCCTGGCATGTGTGGGGGTGGTAGCAGAGCCGCTGGTGTGTGGGGTGACAGCTGGGAACCTGGTGTGTGGGGCTGGCAGCAGAGTCCCTGGCATGTGTGGGGGTGGTAGCAGAGCCGCTGGTGTGTGGGGTGACAGCTGGGAACCTGGTGTGTGGGGCTGGCAGCAGAGTCCCTGGCATGTGTGGGGGTGGTAGCAGAGCCGCTGGTGTGTGGGGTGACAGCTGGGAACCTGGTGTGTGGGGCTGGCAGCAGAGTCCCTGGCATGTGTGGGGGTGGTAGCAGAGCCGCTGGTGTGTGGGGTGACAGCTGGGAACCTGGTGTGTGGGGCTGGCAGCAGAGTCCCTGGCATGTGTGGGGGTGGTAGCAGAGCCGCTGGTGTGTGGGGTGACAGCTGGGAACCTGGTGTGTGGGGCTGGCAGCAGAGTCCCTGGCATGTGTGGGGGTGGTAGCAGAGCCGCTGGTGTGTGGGGTGACAGCTGGGAACCTGGTGTGTGGGGCTGGCAGCAGAGTCCCTGGCATGTGTGGGGGTGGTAGCAGAGCCGCTGGTGTGTGGGGTGACAGCTGGGAACCTGGTGTGTGGGGCTGGCAGCAGAGTCCCTGGCATGTGTGGGGGTGGTAGCAGAGCCGCTGGTGTGTGGGGTGACAGCTGGGAACCTGGTGTGTGGGGCTGGCAGCAGAGTCCCTGGCATGTGTGGGGGTGGTAGCAGAGCCGCTGGTGTGTGGGGTGACAGCTGGGAACCTGGTGTGTGGGGCTGGCAGCAGAGTCCCTGGCATGTGTGGGGGTGGTAGCAGAGCCGCTGGTGTGTGGGGTGACAGCTGGGAACCTGGTGTGTGGGGCTGGCAGCAGAGTCCCTGGCATGTGTGGGGGTGGTAGCAGAGCCGCTGGTGTGTGGGGTGACAGCTGGGAACCTGGTGTGTGGGGCTGGCAGCAGAGTCCCTGGCATGTGTGGGGGTGGTAGCAGAGCCGCTGGTGTGTGGGGTGACAGCTGGGAACCTGGTGTGTGGGGCTGGCAGCAGAGTCCCTGGCATGTGTGGGGGTGGTAGCAGAGCCGCTGGTGTGTGGGGTGACAGCTGGGAACCTGGTGTGTGGGGCTGGCAGCAGAGTCCCTGGCATGTGTGGGGGTGGTAGCAGAGCCGCTGGTGTGTGGGGTGACAGCTGGGAACCTGGTGTGTGGGGCTGGCAGCAGAGTCCCTGGCATGTGTGGGGGTGGTAGCAGAGCCGCTGGTGTGTGGGGTGACAGCTGGGAACCTGGTGTGTGGGGCTGGCAGCAGAGTCCCTGGCATGTGTGGGGGTGGTAGCAGAGCCGCTGGTGTGTGGGGTGACAGCTGGGAACCTGGTGTGTGGGGCTGGCAGCAGAGTCCCTGGCATGTGTGGGGGTGGTAGCAGAGCCGCTGGTGTGTGGGGTGACAGCTGGGAACCTGGTGTGTGGGGCTGGCAGCAGAGTCCCTGGCATGTGTGGGGGTGGTAGCAGAGCCGCTGGTGTGTGGGGTGACAGCTGGGAACCTGGTGTGTGGGGCTGGCAGCAGAGTCCCTGGCATGTGTGGGGGTGGTAGCAGAGCCGCTGGTGTGTGGGGTGACAGCTGGGAACCTGGTGTGTGGGGCTGGCAGCAGAGTCCCTGGCATGTGTGGGGGTGGTAGCAGAGCCGCTGGTGTGTGGGGTGACAGCTGGGAACCTGGTGTGTGGGGCTGGCAGCAGAGTCCCTGGCATGTGTGGGGGTGGTAGCAGAGCCGCTGGTGTGTGGGGTGACAGCTGGGAACCTGGTGTGTGGGGCTGGCAGCAGAGTCCCTGGCATGTGTGGGGGTGGTAGCAGAGCCGCTGGTGTGTGGGGTGACAGCTGGGAACCTGGTGTGTGGGGCTGGCAGCAGAGTCCCTGGCATGTGTGGGGGTGGTAGCAGAGCCGCTGGTGTGTGGGGTGACAGCTGGGAACCTGGTGTGTGGGGCTGGCAGCAGAGTCCCTGGCATGTGTGGGGGTGGTAGCAGAGCCGCTGGTGTGTGGGGTGACAGCTGGGAACCTGGTGTGTGGGGCTGGCAGCAGAGTCCCTGGCATGTGTGGGGGTGGTAGCAGAGCCGCTGGTGTGTGGGGTGACAGCTGGGAACCTGGTGTGTGGGGCTGGCAGCAGAGTCCCTGGCATGTGTGGGGGTGGTAGCAGAGCCGCTGGTGTGTGGGGTGACAGCTGGGAACCTGGTGTGTGGGGCTGGCAGCAGAGTCCCTGGCATGTGTGGGGGTGGTAGCAGAGCCGCTGGTGTGTGGGGTGACAGCTGGGAACCTGGTGTGTGGGGCTGGAAGCAGAGTCCCTGGCATGTGTGGGGGTGGTAGCAGAGCCGCTGGTGTGTGGGGTGACAGCTGGGAACCTGGTGTGTGGGGCTGGCAGCAGAGCTCCTGGTGTATGGGGCTGACAGCTGGGACCCCAGGCACTAGCCCAAGAGCCCCCCACATCTCTTGTACCTGTGCCACATTGAGCTATTTATGGCACGAACCCAGCAGGGTTGCTGTTCCATGCAGGATTCCCTGCATGAGAAAACAGGCTTTAGGTGAGAGTAAGGGGGCACCCCGAGTTTCCCCTGCTGAAACAACACCAGCCTGGCCTGGCTCCCCGGGGATGGATCAGCTGGAGAGTTTGTGTAGTTCTTCAACTGCCGGCCAGAGCCTTGTCCCCCAGTCCCTCTGTCCCCCGACCTTTTCTGCCCTGCAGGGCGGCTCTGCCTCTCCCACGCCCCCATCCCCGCAGGGGCGAAGCAGCAGGATGCGATCAGCGCGGAAGGAACGTTTCCCGTGGGCTAGCGGCGAGGAGCAGAGCCAACGGGCCGTTCCATTGCCGGCATGGAGAGAAGAAGCCACAGTGAACTGACGAAGTGTCTTTCCCACGGTCCCCGCGCTGGGCAGCATGACCCGGGGGTGCTGCACTAAGGCATGACCCGAAAGAGGGTCCAGAGCGCGGCGGCTGTGACCCCCAGGATGCTGCCTCTCACCCCTGGCGCTCCGTCCGTGTTGCACAGGTCGGTGGAACAGCACGAGTCGGGGTGGGCCTCCCCGATTCCATCCGGGTCGGACGGCACGCACGTTTCAGCGCAGGATTTGGACACGGTGATGTTCCCGAAAAAGGGGTAACCTGCGACGGGCGGATTAGGGGGAAAAAAAGGGGAGAAGGAAACGGTGAAGGGGGGTTTGTAGCTTGAGGGGCCGGCTTTCCTTGATTTTACACTGTCTTGGAAGGAGAAAGGGGCCTTCAAAGGGGAAGCAAATTATCCAGAGGAGCCTTAGTGCCAGTAAGAAAAAGTTCATTGGCTTTAGCCAGTGGCTGCAACTCAGTGGTACCCACGGTGCGCTGCCTATGTGCATGGGAAGAGGCAGAGTCGCTGGGCCCACGTGGCATGGCATTCCGACCCCGGCATCAGCTGGCATTTCCGTCCTCTCCGTGGCCTGATGCTGAACTATGCCAGCCTCAATTAAGGGCAAAGTCCCTGCCCATTACGACAGGGCACAGCCAAATGAGCCGTATCGCGGCCTCTCCAATAGCGATTCAGGCCAGCGTGTCGGATCAGAGCATGCAGTAGGGTTGTAAAATCCCGTTTAATTAGTTAACCGGTTACCTGTTAACTGGCTAAACTTAACTGATTAAACGGCAACCCTGCAGGGCAGGAACAGCCCTCGTGGCAGGCCACAGGTGAGGGGCTGTTCCCGGTGACCGGTTACCCATTATACCGGAGACACTGCTGTACAACTAGCATGGGCATGGTGTTAGTCTCCTTTGTGAACGATCAGCGCTGGGTAAAGCTTCTGTGAAGCCAAGAGAATCCAGATCCCCCCAAGACAGAGGGGCAGGAGAGCTGAGATAGAGGAGTCAAAATCATCAGAGAGAGACCAGAGCCTGACTTGCCAGCAGGGGAGACTGTAGACGTCTCTCTGGTACATTGAGATTCAGACTTCCCCACCGGGGTTCCTCAAAGACAGTGGAAGGGACAATCCCACGCTGGGTGGGGCAGGAGGGTGCAGGAGAAGTTCTAATGGGGTTCCATGCGGGGTGCATCTCCCTGGCCGTGTTTCTTTGCAATGATTGGAGGAGACTTACCGGAGTCTACGGAGAGCACAGTCGTCTTGCAGGCCGTGGCTTTCTCCGAGCAGTTGGTGACAGTGGTGCACGCGGAGAGGTCGGTGGGTTCTTTGCAGGTGTAGCATTGCAAGGTCAGGGCTGGCAAGAGGAACACAAGGTCTATCCCCTGGAGTCTGCCATGCCCACTCCCACTCCTCTGAGGAAGCGGGTCTGGCCCACGAAAGCTCGTGACCTGATAACGCTGCCAGCCTCTCTAAGGTGCCACAGGACCACGTGTTGCTTTTACAGTTCCCGACTAACACGGCCTCCCCCGCCCCGAGTCTTTACCCCTCAGAATAGGTCTGAGCAGGCGCAGAGTCTGGCTCTGTTTTTCTGTCCGCTCTGGAGAATCCGCAATCGCACTAAATGGACGTGGAGTGGGGATGTGGAATCCTGGTTAACCAGTTTAACCCCTCTGGTTAAGTGCTAAAGTGGCATCCTGCAGGCAGGGAGTTGTTTGTAAGTCAGAATCATAGAACCATAGAGCTGGAGGAGACCTCAGGAGTCATCAAGTCCAGCCCCCTGCCCAAGGCAGGACCAATCCCAACTAAATCAACCCGGCCAGAGCTTTGTCAAGCCGGCACTTAAACACCTCTAGGGATGGAGATTCCACCCCCTCCCTAGGGAACCCATCCCAGTGCTTCCCCACCCTCCTAGGGAAATAGTTGTTCCTAATATCCAACCTAGACCTCCCCCACTGCAACTTGAGCCCATTGCTCCTTGTTCTGCCATCTGTCACCACTGAGAACAGCCTCTCTCCATCCTCTTTGGAACCCTCCTTCAGGAAGTTGAAGGCTGCTCTCAAATCCCCCCTCACTCTTCGCTTCTGCAGACTAAACAGACCCAACTCCCTCAACCTCTCCTCATAAGTCATGTGCTCCAGCCTCCTCATCATTTTGGTTGCCCTCCGCTGGACCCTCTCCAATGCGTCCACATCCTTTCTGTAATGGGGGGCCCAGAACTGGACACAATACTCCAGATGTGGCCTCACCGGAGCTGAATAAAGGGGAATAATCACTTCTCTGGATCTGCTGGCAATGCTCCTCCTAATGCACCCTAATATGCCATTCGCCTTCTTGGCTACAAGGGCGCCCTGTTGACTCATGTCCAGCTTCTCATCCACTGTAACCCCCAGGTCACCTGAAATGATTCTGGTGGTAGATTAAGGAATGCAAGAAAGAACAAAAGCAATGTTCCCCCATTTTGGGGTGAATTTTTCTGTGCGTGTTCTTGGCAGAGAATTTTATGTGGTTAGTTATTTTGTAGACAAACTTTGGTTCTGTCATCGTCGGAGTTGTGTGTGTGTGTAGGTGTGCGTGTGAGTCTCTAAACCTGGGGTGGGGAACTTGCGGTCCGGGGGCCATATGAAACCCACGGTCCCCCTTCCCCTAGGCTGGCCCCCCCCAGCATTGGGAAGCCCGTGGTAGTCCAGCCCTCCCCCACTATCTCTCTGTGGAGCCTGGAGCACACAAAATCTACTAGCTTGCCCCCCTCTCAGGCTCTGGTGTGCAAGGGGAGTGCGGGGAAGGTCTTTCTGCTTTTCAACCGGGGGCCTCATCAGCGAGGTTGGGTTTTTGGGGGTTTTTTTGCGTCTCACTTGTGTGCGTCCCCTGACTGATTTTTCCTGAGCTCAGAATACAGGCCAGTGACTTTCAGGTTTACGCCAGCATGACTTGATGACAGGGTTGGACCCGAACCCTCTAAAGGCTCCCATGAAGGTTTGCTCTTGCTGGATCCAACCATGGAGGGTCTTATGGTGGGTTCCTAATACGCTGAGAGCAGCTATTTGCACAGTTAAGATCTTTGACCTGCAATCTGAGTTCTTTCCCACGTCTCCTTTTTATAAACGCTAACAGTTTGCAGGTTACAAAAAAAAAAAAAAAAAAAAGGGAAAAAGAAAAAGAAAAAAAAGAAAAGGAAAGGAAAGAAAAGAAAAAAAGGAATACAGGCTTCTACTGCCCCCTCCTGGTGAAAACGTAGAAGGGAATGATTTCTGTTGCTCTACGAACAATTCTTCTTTGCCTCATACCTAGGTAGTAGTTCTGGCTGGAATTTTTGACGAATCCAAAGGCAATTAGCGATCCAGGGTATCCCACCTCACAGGGTACTAGAGCCCGGACTATGGTCCCAAGCTGGAACATCTACATCACAATTAAACAACCTCTTCACCCGAGCCTGAATCAGCCGGCATGGTCCAGCTGTGGGTTTTTCATTGCAGTGTAGACATATCCTCGTGGAACAGGGCTAAAACTGCAGCGTAGGGGTTCAGTGGGGCTGAATCTTGGGCTCTGGGTTTTGCAGCCCCATCTTCAACCAGAGCAGGAACGTCTCTCACGGTTTCCCAACCAATGGCTACGTCTACACTGGCATGAATTTCCGAAAATGCTTTTCACGGAAAAGTTTTCCGTTCAAAGCATTTTTGGAAAAGCACGTCTAGATTGGCAGGATGCTTTTCCGCAAAAGCACTTTTTGTGGAAAAGCGTCCATGGCCAATCTAGACACGGTTTTCCGCAAAAAAGCCCCGATCGCCATTTTCGCCATCGGGGCTTTTTTGCGGAAAACAGTCCTGTGCTGTCTATACTGGCACTTTCACACAAAAGTCTTCCGGAAAAAGACTTTTGCCCGAACGGGAGCAGCATAGTATTTCCGGAAAAGCACTGATGATTTTACAGGAGATCGTCAGTTCTTTTCCGGAAATTCAAGCGGCCAGTGTAGTCAGCTGGCAAGTTTTTCCGCAAAATCAGATGACCCAAATATGGGTCACCATTACAGTTCAAAAGGGTTGCCACGTGTCTCCCCAGGTGGTTCTGCTCCCTCTCCCCCGTTTTTGAATTGCCTTGGGTCACCAAGTCTTCCTGAATTGTCCAAATGAGTCCCTATCTGGAAAAGGTTGGGAATCGCTGGTCTACAAGGATAATTTTAGCTCCAGGTGCAAGTCCTGTGAGTGAGCCAATAGGCCCGGGCTTTGAGATTCACTTGTGACTTTTTCCTCCACCCCCCGGTATAGACGTACCCATGGTGACTTGATTTGGGATTGGGCCTGATTCTGGATTCACACTGGATTCACATTGATGTCAGTGGAGTTACATTTACACCAGGTTAAAGAAGAGAGTCAGCCTCACGTTTTGTGGCAAATGGATCCTTCCCAGAGGAGCAGAAGGGGATTCCTGCCTTGGAGGGGGTCAGGGAGGGAACCAAAGAACACAGAGGAGAGGTTACAAAACTAAGGACCAATCCAATGGTGAGGAAAGAGGCCCTGGAAAAGCCGAACAGTGGCATGCAAGGGGCAGTGCTGTGTTAGTGCGCCAGAGAGTGATTCAAGGGTGGTTCTGTGCCCTGCAGGACCCTGTCTCACTGCAGTCTTAGGCAAATCACTTTCCCTTCCCTGGTCCTCAGTCTTTCCATCTGTAAAATGGGAGGGGGGGGGAGGTGTTGATACTGACCTGTCTCTGAGTGGAACTGGTATTTGCAGCCCCATTGAATTCAGGTCCAGAGCTGACCCAGAGGGAAATGACTGAGCAAGTAGAATAAGTTACAAGGAAAGGGAATGAACCAAGAAACATGGGGCAAGAGCCTCCGATGGTGTAACTCGGTGTCGCTGTGGTGAAGCATATGGAGCTCTGCTGATTTAACGGAGGGAGGAGCTGGCCCATGGTACGTAAAGCAGTTCAGCACACGGCTGGGGTTGCTTCCCCAGAGGTAGGTGAACTCAGGGGAAGTAGCGCAACTCAGGGGTTTTCCTGTTCATTTCATTGGGTGACCCCTAGTTCTTATGTTTCAGAGGTAGCCTCTTGAAACATACAAAGTAGGGGGTCACCCAATGAAATGAATAGCTAGCAGGTTTGAAACAAATCAAGCACGTTTTTCTTCATGCAGCACACAGTCAATCTGTGGAACTCCTTGCCAGAGGATGTTGTGAAGACCATGATTTTAACAGGGCACAGGGTTCAAAAAATAACTAGATAAATTCGTCAAGGTTAGGTCCATCAATGGCTATTAGCCAGGCTGGGCAGGAATGGTGTCCCCAGCCTCTGTTTGTTGGGGAATGGGTGACAGGGGGGGATCGCTTGATGATTCCCTGTTGTGTTCCCTCCCTCTGGGGCATTGGCCACTGACGAACGGACCCTGGCCTAGATGGACCTTTGGGCTGACCCAATTTGGCCGCTCTTATGTTCTAAAGACTCCAGGGGTAACTGAAGCCGCAGCAGAGGTGTCCAGAGAACCCCCCAGCAGGCGGGGAAAACTCAGCCCGGCTTTTCAGTGCCAGGGACGCCCGCTGCCAGGGCATGTGACCGGAACCGAAGGGTCACCAGCCTGGATCCCACCCGAGGCCCATCTGGGCTGCGCCATCCCTGCCAGTCACACCGGAGAGGGCACATGTAGGGATCCCTGAACGGCTCATTCTAACCCGCTGAGCTAGAGATGAGCTGAAGCACGGAGTCCGGTGGGGGGGTGCCAGCATGGACTGTCCTCGTCTGGCCCTCCCCATCGTTGGGCCAGCCTGGTTGGATCCCATCCTTGCTGGCAGGTCCAGGGCCTCCTTCCCGGCACGACCCAGTCCTGCCGCCCCCCCAAGGGGTTGTGGCTTTGGAGCAGAGAGGAGAATCCCTCCCCAGCCCCGTTACTTTGCTAGTTCTTGAACCAGTGCCGAGAGAATGCGAAGGGGCCCTGCGAGGCGGGACCGCCCTGAGCTGGCGGCGTGGGCCACCGGCTGAGCACAGGTGTGAATGCCTGCACCGGGTGTGGGGCAGGGCAGAAGAAAAGCCCCTCCCCACCATCAGGAGCATGACCCCCCCCCCACACCCACATTTCCCTTCCCCCGAAATCTTCCTCTCCTCTTGCCTGATCCTTTGTCAATCCCGTGCCAAGACCTTTCCCCTCCCCGGGCTGCCACGCCCCCCCCCACACACACATTTCCCTTCCCCCAAAATCTTCCTCTCCTCTTGCCTGATCCTTTGTCAATCCCGTGCCAAGACCTTTCCCCTCCCCGGGCTGCCACGCTGGGGCCTCGCAGCCAAATCTCACCTCGCTCCACGCAGACCAGGCCGGCCAGCAGTGCCACCAGGAGAACCTTCATCCCCCCCCCCCACACACACATTTCCCTTCCCCCAAAATCTTCCTCTCCTCTTGCCTGATCCTTTGTCAATCCCGTGCCAAGACCTTTCCCCTCCCCGGGCTGCCACGCTGGGGCCTCGCAGCCAAATCTCACCTCGCTCCACGCAGACCAGGCCGGCCAGCAGTGCCACCAGGAGAACCTTCATCC